GTTAATGTTAATTCGAATCTAACACACTTCCTCGTCTACACCATAATTCCCATAAAGAAATTAAAGACTCGTTGCGATAATTAATCAAATTTATTACCGACTTCCTACGTCGAAACAAAAAAAATTAACCAGAAATTAAATTGGTACTCGAAGACATCTACATATAAACGCGGCGTATAATCTAGATCTATCTCCTCGGGGTATTCACTTAAAGGCGATGCAAGCAAGAAACATTCTTCATCAATCACCTCCGCCTTTATAATTAAAATATCGTTAAAAAATATCCCTCCAGCTCACTTTCGGCTTCCTAATTGACCGACAACAAAAAATTACAACGAATTTAAAACGCAAGTACGAACTACTTTCGTTACGAGTTCATTTCATCGAGACTTTTTTTTCATTTCGCAAATGTAAAATAGGTATTACGAAGTTGAAAGTGCAAACAGTTTCTTTTTGGTCGTTTTTTAGAAACGCTTCTCCCGATGAGAAGCGTAAATTTATCGCCCTTCCGAATAGGTATACACACGACTACGAAAAATTTAATATATCCTCAGAAATGTCTAAGCAAGTAAATTCCAGCAACCAATTTTCCACGATAAATATAAGTATGAGTTATTGCGGTATACACAAATAGGTTTTAATTTTAATAAAACTGTCTTGCCGCATGTAATACCCCGACGTATATAAGGGATCTTTGGCCAGCGACGTAGGTAGCGTAAGGAATAAAGGGATTGAAAAAGACCTCAAATAATTGAACAAATAATGAGGTATAAGGTAGACTGGGGCAAATGTAAAAATGGGGTAAATGTAAGATTTTTACCTATTTTGTAAATTTTTTTATTGTTTTTTATAGTTCTTTTGTGCATTAGACAGGGTTTGTTTCTTATTTTTTCTTTATTATTATGTAGCTGTTATTTTTTGAAATAAATAAATAAACAGCATATCAAATTTTAGAGGAACCAAATATGTATTTATAATTGCCCCATATGTTTTTCTATGTAATTGTATTGCCCCTTTAGAATCGTTTGTTACAATTACCCCATGGTACGGGGTAAATGTAACATATTGTCAACATTTAAAAAAAATATGTTATAAAATCGTTTTCTACCTTTTTCAAAAAAAACTTTTTAATAGCTTGATTCTGTAGTTTAGGAAGTTGTGAATTTAATGTGGTATAAGCATTTCTAATACGAGAAGAAATAAAGCCATATTTTAGGATTTAAATTGAACTGTTCAAATTTGATAACCGATTTGTCCCAGTCTACCTTGCAGTAAAAGTGAACCACTCACATTAAAAATAGTATTCTAACTAAATATGCCCTGTATAGTATAAAAAGCAAAATATAGGATGTCAAATTTAATATTTCAATCGTAAATTTGTTTGTAAGAAATTCAAAAAGTTACTCCTATTTTTTTATTTATGTGGCAAATAATTAAACCTAATCAACTTTCTAAATAATTTTAAAAACAGTGTATCCTTCTGTAAAACCGTGCAGGCGCGTCCATGTGTTCACCTATACCGCATTGTTATGAGGCGAAGCATGGATATTTGGAGAAATGGCGGCAGCTATTTTTATATTTTGACTCCCCTGTTTTTGTTCGGCTTGATCCCTAATTCGGGCTTCCACCCCTGCCCCGATGGGGTGGGCCACCCACTTATTGCTATTCCATCTATGACTGTAGGCGTCTTACATCGGGGATGATCGATAGCGTCGTTGCCAAAGTTAAACAGATATAGATTCCCTTTTGTATTATTTTTTTTATAATGGAGAAACGAAATTATTGCCAGTAATTGGTTTCGAGGATCGCCAACTGAAGTATACACGAACGTTCCGTTTTATTGTCATTTGTAATGTAAATCGTTGAATGCGAAAAAATATCAAATAAATTATCTATTAGGAAAGATCGGCAAACCGGTTGGAGTTCGTTATTTTCCATAAAATAATTGCTCTCGAGGAGAGCATAACAATGCGACTAACAATAAAATTGTCGGACGTAAGGATGTCCTCATTATCCTCCAGAAACGAGGACATCAAAGTAAGAAATAACAATTTCTTAAATTTCCCAATTAGACCAAGCTTGTCGAAAAGTGCTCCATCCCGCGCAATCCTCTTCCAATGTCAATTACGGAATAAGCAATCATTTCTCTATAATATATAAAATTCGAACGGATATTCTTAAAAAAGTTTAAATGAGTTCGAGGGTAAAAAGACATGTTTTTCCATGCAGGTGGGATTTCCGAACCGCTGCTCCTGCTACAATCCTTGATTTTTAATTGGACTCGGAAAGCTTTTCGAAATGGAAGGGAAATAAAAGGGAGATAGAGATTTATTCAATTTGGATCGCATTGCGACGTACGTGGATTGAGCAGGATGTTTGCATTCCTGCTAATTGACTATGCTTTGTTTACTGCATCTATTCAATTTTTGTTTTTGTTCGAAAGAGACGAAGAGGTAAATTAAATTATTTTAATTTTTCATTCTTCCACAATCTATATAGTATGTATATTTTAGTCCTGCAACCTCACCGATAACATTTTTAATTTCTATAAACAAATTTAAATAGGCACCCATTTACTTTACTGCAATTAAATTGAAATTGTATAATTAAACGCATTTAAGCGATATCCCTCCATAACAGGCCGGTTAAATATACATAATCGCCCGTTTAACAACGGCATTACCAATTACATTAAAAACAAACGTTTTCGGAAGGAGGACCCGCCTAAAAAACAAACTGTCCAACCCTATCATCAGGTAATCACTAATAATAGGTCACTTTATTAAAATTAAATAACAAACTTCCTAAATTACACCGGCAATTTGATTAACTGTCGACTACGATGCGACGGTTTAGGTACGCATTATTTCATTAAGACATAAAAAATGAAAAAAATATGAGTACAAATAGACAATGGAAGAAACAGAGGGGGATTCTATTAAATTTAACTGATTTTTGTTACAATATACATACTTGTATTTATTTGTTAGATATTAACAATTTTGTGATTTATATTGACAATTTACACTTGGTAATTTTGTTATTATTTTATGCGAATATTAGTAATGGGACCTTTTTAAATAACAACTTGAAAATTTTGCATTGTCTCACGTTCACATGTCTTTTGATTACCATGCAAAATTACCAATACTATAAGTACATAAACCTAATATATTTTGAATACCTACATATTTAAACAAATTTTAAGAATCCAATCCTGTCTTTTTGGGCACGATCATTACCTACCTATAGCCAAAAAAACAGGACACTTATTTATAAGAACAAAGTATTAATAAAATAAAGTAAATCATCTGTTTCCTGATGATGTCCTGGCGAGTGGGCTTACGTAGCAGGTGGTTCGGATCGTTAGACACTACTTATATGGTCAATGTAACCAACGGCCAGTCTATATGCTACATTGGTAAATAATAACAATAATTAATTAATAATTGAGTGGCGTCTTAAACGCGGGCGGTTTTACGATATGGTCGACAAATTATGGCTAAATTAATCGATTCCATTTGCATAAATATATTTCCATAACTAGATACCTGCCCAATTTAAATTCTCAACAATTACTGTTTAATTATTAATTAAAAAATGTAAAATATATCTAGATGAATATATCATAAAACTGTTAAATATTAATAAAACCATTGACTTCCAAATATTAGTTATGTAGGTAGGTAAAAAAATGTATTAAAATATAAGATAATTAAAAACATAAAAAACCTTGGCTATTAAAAATAATAAATTTAAACTGTATAGAATTTACACTGTAATATTTATTTAAACTGTAATAGAATTTTCGTAAAATTTCACGTGCATGGTCGACTTTAGCGCGACTTGTTGATGCCTTTCATAGGGGCTGCAACCGAAACTACCCTCCGAGGGTGAAGATCCCAACCCCAGAAACTGTAGCTGTCAAACGTACTCCCCTCATTCTGTTACGTAGTTCGGGTTCTCATTAATAGGTGGCGCAAAGTCGAAATTTAAAAGAGGGATTGTTTGAATTCGTACAGGGTGGTCTTTTCTATTCCGTTTCTATTACCGAATAAGAATTTCTGTTTATATATATATATATATATATATATATATATATATATATATATATATATATATATTAAGATATTGACATTAATGTTTGGCTATGCTTTATCAATTTGAAATATATCTTGAAATAGTGTTGTAATCCCTATACGTTCGCAAATTACGAAATTAAAATTTAAAATTAAACAAATTAATAATTAGACTACGTACTTATCTTTATCTAATAGTACTAAAGTATCTAATTAAATAATATAATTTTTATTAAATTTGATTTAAAAAATAAAGCAAATCAATTTTGGATTTTCATCACCTGTACGACTGCTCGGATCATTCACGAAAACTCTTCTACCTGGCTTGACCTAAATCGATCCGATTGAATTCGAACCTTTATTGTACAGTTCGGAGTTTGGTTGAAGCCCTCAATTTGTAATAATAGATCGACTTGAAAGTTAACAGCTCCATAATTCGCAATATTAGCCCCTTTTTTAACTTTCACTAACAGGTAGTTACGAAAATAGGATGACTTGCACTGAATCGAACGAAAGAAAAGAGCCTGCACCTCTGCTATTAGCAGGTACTAAAAATACTTACTAATGATTGTAATAATTTTATTATAATTCACTGTATTTTACATTCGGATATACTTGAGTAATTCCTTTGAAGTTGCTTAATCGACATAATATTCGAACGCTAGGTAGGTGTCAATTACTAGAAGATTCAATTCTAGGCGAGTCGAAACATTCTCAATCCTTTGGGTTATTAGATAAATCTTCATTGAAACGCACACGATTTAATGCAATTAAGATAAAAACGCACTATAAAATTTCGAATTTATCTCTTTCGAAAAAGGTTAATCGTTTCTCGTTAACACACTTAAATATTTCGATCGATTTTTTTTTCAAATTTAATTAATTGGAATTGCTGATTGATTTATATGGAATAAATATTAATGATAATGTAGTGTTTATTGACTTATATTAAATTTTTTACATGTAATTAAGTAGTGTATTATTTTTACAGAATTACGTATACCGCACATAGATAAAAATGAATGTTTCTTGCGTAATATAATTCAGCTTTTTGACGCAATTACAACGAACAAATTGGAGCTAAAGGAGACATTTGTGGTACCATTTTTATTTGTCATTCTAAACACTTGGCTTCGGTATTTTTCGTCCAAATAGTCTTGTATGTATTCATTATAATCCTTGTCCTCTACATGGGGCAATATACCGTTCACAGCTATCAGGGAATCTTCAATTCAAGAAATAATTAAAACAAATTCACTTAATGAATATCCGTTAACTTACCATCAAACTCCTTTTCAGACGAGTAAGAATACGATTCCGTCTCGACGTTAAATAAATAATTTTTAAAACTAGCTGCTTCTAAATCTCTAATGTACTCGTCGCGTGGCGATTCGCTGTGAAAATAGGTTGACACCATATTGTCCTGTTTGTATTTGCACCATTTGGGATGCTCGGCTAATCGTACAAAAATATCATCGACTGGCGATCTTTCGAAAAACGAAAGAAACATCATCCCGTTCGGTTTTAACATTTTATGCACATTTTCGAATGCTTTCCTACGTACAAAAAACATCATAAGTTTTTTAGTGAGCTTTAAATGAGAGCTTCAAAAGTTCCTTACCTTGGATTCTTCACGCGGTGTAAAGTGAAAAACGAAAAGATATGATCGAACCTCTCCCGAAATTCGTTTGGAATATTTTCCGTTACGTCCATCTGCATTATGCTCGATCTCGGGATAACGCAGGATTCTCTAGCGTCCTCCAGCATGTCCTGGGAAATGTCTGTAGCAATGAATTCCTTATAATCGTGGGGTAGCATAGGAACCAAACTTCGGGAGGAATTAAAACCATTAGCGAAACCAATCTCCAAAATAGACGCGTTCGGTTTCCATTTTATGAAATGTTTGTATTTCTCCAGGTGAGCCAGCGCCGTTACCAATGAAAAATTGCTGCTTATTGACCAAAGTTTCGGATTTACCATACCAGACGTAGACATTTTGAAAGGAATTTAAGCGAATGTACGTTGTAATCAAAATGCAAGTTCACTAAATTTACATAACATTAAATACTCAGCATTTTTAATAACATAATTATTAATGTTTAACAACAATTTAGATTAGATTAATGAACAAGTTTTGAATCGAACAAGCATTGAGAAATAAATATTATATACAGTGTGAATAAACAGTTTTCATTCATTTTTGAAGTTACTAAAATTAAGATTTGTATTTAAATTTGTCGAAGTGTTTATATGTACAAATCATGATTAATTGGCCGTTATATAGGCTTTATTTCCTATTCAAAAGACTACATGTTTCCTACTATTAATGTAATCAGCCAATTTGTCTATTAATTACATTGATCAATCGCGAGGCCTATTCAAATTAATAACGGTTTTTAAATCACTGGAAAAGATCGTTTAGCTTCCGGGAACATCCTATCGTTTTAGGGCCAGAGGTCGTATTCGCATATCTGATAATTATTATTGTAGCTTGTAACTGCGATAACTCGTGTCTTCATTTTTTTTCATATAGGTACCACTAACGGTGGACCGCTGTTTCATATTAACGAGTAGTATACGTTGTAACCAGAGGAAATATAGACGTGAATACAAAAAATAATAAACTTATTAGTTTTTTTATTAAATTATTTAGTGTTATTTTCATTAATAACGTTTAAATGATATACTATACGCAAATAGAATACAGATCGTGCATTTGGAAGGTAAACAATTTGTTTTTCCTAAAATTTAAATCAATATATACTGATTATTTATATGTAAATATTAGGTATAACGTAAAAGTGCTAGATTTGTTTCATATAATTTATTATTCAAAAGAGCAATACAATTTCTAAGGTACGCCGTGTAAACAATAAGGTGATGAAATAAGGGTTAAAAACTATTTAAATGAAATAAAAATGTCAGTTATTTTTATTAGGAAAAATTTATTTTTTTACATTAAACAATAAAATCGTTACGATATCGAAATGTGCGAGGTTCCGGTGAATCGATGAATGGTTTGTTGCATTGAAATAATTTTGCATATTCGTGATTTACATTAGATGTCGGTCCTCAAGGGGTTGGAAAATACCTCAGCATTGTCACGACATTATTTACCCTTTGTCCGAAAAAGGTCGCAAATAGAACCCCGGAACGTCTCTAACAATCGAACAAATTGTTCAATAAACCTCATTTGAATATAGGTACGGAAAAGTAACGGCTGTCGAACTATGTGGCCCACATGCAAATACCCTAAACAGGACCCGTGACATATTCTGAATTATATTCAAATAAGGTCCCCTGATATAATTTATCATTTTTCATAATCCGTTTTGTTACCTGTTCTCGGGTTCTCACACAACCCTTTTTTTACTCCTTTTCTTCGTATGCAGATGTCGTCTGAGATACCTGCTGACTTCTTTTGCATATGGTCTAGTTCCTTGCAAGTGTCTGATGGCTTTTGTGCGCCCAGGTAGACACGGGACCCTCTAGGAGATAAAAAAATCAATGGGTTCGAAAGTGAAGGTATAAAAAGGTTGAAGGACGGAATGATTAGACACTTCTTCCGGCTTTTACATGTTCGCCCATAAAAGGGTCTCCAGCTCGATTAGATTTTTATGAAAATTAACCACCTTTCGTTTTCTTTCCTTGAATTTTATTTTTGAACACCCGATATATTCGGTACGTCGGCATTTCTCTAATACTTGCGTAATTAGGACTAGTTAGTAATTAAAACTTTTTACTATATGTATGTAGATAAAATTTCACACGAGTTGGGCGAATTATAAACAATTGTCGTTTTATCTATAATTATAAGAGTTTATGAAGTACAATTTGCAATTAATGTTTTCAATTTTCATGTAGCCATAATGTTATATTATTATTATTTTTATCGATTGCATATTCTCTATTATGTAACCACATAGAAAACACTCACGCTCACACTCTAGGGAATGGCTATTTTTTTATCATCGTGGCGTAATACCATATACCTACTGCAAGATTTCGCAACTGCAATCTACAGAAAAATTGTTTATTAATTCGACAGTGTTAATTTAATATTATTTATACTATACAATACATTAATTATGATACGTAGAAATATGAATTAGGGTATAGTTTGTATATTCTTCATTAAAAATAACATCTCTACAAGTAAATTATTATAGTATGTACTTCAATATTTATATGATTTTCTGATTTTTTATCACATAGTGTATGCAATTGATTGTACTATACAGCGTCTGCATATTTCGCCATTCTAGAAGAGACATATTGGAAATAAAATCGATGATACCGTGCATACAAACATATAGGGGTGGGTAGCCATCACCCGATTTCTACTTCCCCAAAAAAGCTCGCCCCATTCGCATTCCACCCCCGCGTAACAAGCCGAGGATTATTCCGCGAAAATTGAAAAAATCCTGCGACTCGAATTACTCCTAATTACCGCCAAATCTCCACGCCAAATGAAACAATTACTCCGGATCGGCGTTGCCGCTTTTCCATCGCGCGACCGGCTGATTCTTGACGAGATTTTTCGAATTAACAAGTCGCTGGATTAATTAGAAAAAAATACGATCGTGATTCCAATCTGCAACTTAATTGATTGGGTTTTGTTAATTAAATTTAGTGCCGAGTCATGAATGAATTTGAATGTTAATTGCGTTATTAATTTCGGTTTTAATTAAATTTTGCGTACTGTATGAGTTTATAGTCTTATAACGTAAGCTAATCAATTTAATTTAGAAAAAGCCGTTATATAGGTAGGTGTCTACTTATCTTTTGTATTTTATGATGATATTGCTGAATATTTCTAAAATTGTATAATAGGTTCCATCTAATTAAATTAAGTAATCTGTATTAAGAAATCATAATTACAGTGAATAATCATGTTTTTTTGAATTATTTTGATCATTTTGAATTACGAAACATTTGTGATAATTTGTGCGCAAAAAGCAGGAAAATTGCATAATACCCGAAATAAGATATTGAGTAAGAGAAAAAAATGTCTACGAAGAGAATATTTCGAAGAGTTTTTCCAGCACACGGCAACGCTTGGATATTACCTACGGAATACGTCGTTTGACGGCCATTTTGAACATGCGCGTCCCGACGCCACATACGCAACAGTGTAGTTCCTCGCGAATTTCGAGGAATTTCAATCGTTTTCTTTTTCTCCGGCGCTTTCCTCGGACGGGGAGAGAAAGAGATGGGGCTCTTTCAACTTGACTTGATTAGATTTCACGCGTGTGTATAAGTTGGGCTCAAGAACGGGAGTTTTGAAGTTTCATTCGCTATTTTCCCGTCTTCCCGATCGCCTTGAGAGCTCCCAACCGATGGCGATGCATCCTTTGTAATCGAAAAATATTTTGTTATTATCTAAGTTGCATTTTTTTATTTTTGTATTATCCTTCCTCATCCCTGTAGCGAATATGTGATGTGTTCGTGATTTCCTACCTGCAACAAAAAATGATACATATTAAGGTAAGAATTGAATGGACGTTGCGTGACTAGAATTTTTAAAACAAACTAAAAGTAATTTGTTTATAGAGTTTGCGTGTATAAATTGATAATGATTTTCAAACAAATTTGATTTACTAATTTTAGTTGCACGTACATATCTCTGCAAAATGGGATAACCTTACACTTGAATAATTTTTTAAGTTGACTTTAACACCTTATACTAATAACAAAAATAAAGGAAATTGATTATTATTTTAGAAAAGTTCATTAACAAGATTATTTATGACTAGTTCAAGAATGTTTTTAATAACCTTTGATTTTAAAACATTCTTGTGCGGTAACATAGTAAAAAGTTGAAAAAATTATCGTTATATTCCATTTAAAAATGTTAATTACAACATTAGCTACCTAATAATTTTTCCAAAAATAAAAATTGATATTCATTGTTGCATAAAATATTTACAAAATAAATGACAATGTGGACATTTTTGTAGCAATTCAAATCGTAAATCAGATAAAGTAAGTTTAAGGAATTGCTCATGAAACGTTGCAGTTTTAACGTTCCCGAAATTGCATAATGCATGATGCAGGTCAAAGTTTCCAGTCAAGTATTCCTCACATTACACACGGAAAGGCGGGTTGAATTTCCCGTTTGATAGTTTGATCGATACCATTTGTAATGATAAATACATGCTCTTATAATCCTTCAAATCTTTATTGCTTCATATGTACTTTAATATTTACATAAATCACCCATAAATTATATTTTTAAATATCCAATATTCTTTATTAGAGTATTAACAAAAGTATGCAAAAAATGTAGTAATTGTTAAATAAATAAGTTGAATGAAAGTGAGGGTGAAACGCGGCACCCGACGCTTCTTAACAATTCCCGGATCGCTCAAACTCCCAGCCATCCGGCTGGAAACTCGGAAAGTATAAGCGTTTAATTGATGGTTAAGTACAACTTAATTCGCGTTGGGTTAGGTCGCGCGATTCTCTCTCTCCGTGTCGGTGCTCCGGCGGGGGCAGACTCTGCGATTCTCGCTAATCACCCGCCCGGCGGCCTTAACGACCAACGGGGGCGGGCCGGGAGAGCAGCCGCCGGCGCCCGATGCCGCCCGTTCATAAAGGAAGCTTCTTCGCGCTTTCATTCACTCATTTCACTCTCTCCACTGTTTTCACTCTTAATCAGTGTGTCGCCTCCGCGTTCACGGCCGATGTTGCTCCAGAAAACTCATCTCGAAAATTTTAATGCTTTTCTTTTATAAAGTATACGATCGAATCAATAAATTGAAATTTTTGACTGAAAGTTAATGTACTATTAATATTACAATATTTATTCTTTAAATTGTAAAACGTTAAACAAAAAGTTTATTAAAAAAATGTAATACAAAAATCTCGAGAGAAATCATATGTGAATGTTTGTAAAGTAATGTAATTACACTTTAGTTTGTGAACGAAATATGAATAGGTACTCTTAATTGACAGGTACATATCCAAATGTAATAATACCGTCCTTCAATTGATTAAAAAAGTTTAATACAAGTTAACTAAAAGTTTATTATATGAATGATA